GGCTATCGGCTTGATTGACATTCTAAGTTACATAAAAAACTGATCGTATTACTGAAGTATTTTTACATTCTCTCTTTCTAATACTGTTTTTAAGTCTTGTTACTAACTAATATAAGTATAAATTCTGGTCCAAAATGAAAAAAAAAATGGAATATAAATAGTTCTATTATAAAGTATAAGCAAGCCAAAATGGCAATTGGCTGGTTACATAGCTCGAAGATATCTGCAAAAGAACCAAAATAACCGATATAGCCTAAAGGATCAGCAAGCTGAAGTGGCAATGGGCTGGTAACGTAGCTCGAAGAACCGACAACCGATGGGGAAGAAAGGTTCTTGAGTGGCGACCATGTAAGGGTAAACGAAGTGTAGGATAACCCCCCACTAGATGGAGTGACGACCTGAAATGCGTTGCAGGGAGTCCGTGGATGCAGGTGGCTCAGGACCGTTCTTTGTGGCAGTTTGTGGGGGAGGCTTTTGTTTAATAAATAAATAATTATATCTTTTATCACTTACGCGACTGTTAAAAAGCCAACCAAGTATTAATACGGTGAAGTGGTAAAAAGTAATAACAAACACACATGCCTACAAAGTACCAACGCAATGAAAACGCCATATTTTCCCATACAAAGTGACCGATAAGCATCGAAGCCGTAGCACGAAAGCGCAATCAAATAACCATTTTATTGGTAACGATTTATTTCGTTTATTCCACACAGAAGTGAAGTTTGGCAGAAATAAAAATCGTCCATAAACAAACACATTTTATGGAAGATCGATTGCCCGTAAGTTTATGGTTGATTCATAGAATTACATATATTATGATAGGTACCTGTTGTATTTTATCTCTTTAGCCGATTTCAAAAAAGGAGTGCCAAGCCTAAAGAGAACATGAGCAGTAATATCTAGTAAAAATATGTAAGAGCTTAAATTGCAAATGAAACATAATTCAAATGAATGAATGAAAACTCTTTATTGTTCTCTTCAAAGAATAATACAGATTATAAAATAAAAACAATATAGACACAAACAAACTTAATAATATACATAAATTTAGGATAATGAAGTAACAATGGACGACCTTATCGCTAAATAGCGATCTATTCTAGGCAACCTTAGTATGGAGAAGAATAATAAAAATTGTGTCCGGTCAAGGCGTAACGGAAAAATAATGAAATCCAGAAATATTTTTGTTTGTGCTTAATATATTTCTTATTATATATATTATTATATATATTTCTAGCCGATAGATTTGTATAATTTCACAATTGCTTACTGCTTGATCTTATATGTATAGATGCTTTATTATATATATATATATATATATATATATATATATATATATATATATATATATATATATATATATATATATATATATATATATATATATATATATATATATATATAATATAACGCATCAATGATCACTGATTTCAAATAGATTATGTTTATTAGTTTAAAAGTCTAATATCAGTTCATGTGTCGCTTTTTGGTTTTTGTTTTTTATATTATATTAGAATTATTTTCATTATTCTGATTTTTTTATATTATATTATTACAGTTATCATCATCAGCCTCTATCTATCCACTGCTGAATATAGGTCTTCCGTAATGCTTTCCAATATGTGGGATCCTTCGCTTTTCGCCCCGAGTACCACACGGTCCTCATTGGAAATTTATGCCCATAAGTCACCATGCTGATCAAGTGGGTTGGTTACTGGAATTTATGAAAGAATTTTTGGAAGGATGGATGGATGGATTTGGAGTTTAGGTGACGGGATACTGATGCCACTATGTGGGAGGATGCGGGATACGATAGCGACAGCTGTGGCCTCCGGGAACGCGTACCCGTATTTATCGGAAGGATGAACCCACTGAAGAATAATTATAACTATGGGAAATTGGGCTTTAAATTAATAACACAAGCTCTCCAATATTATTTTATCTTAGTCTTTTCTACTGTGCTACTAGGAAGTCAATGCAAGTCTGCTCTCCAGCGCATAGAAGTATCGCTCGAAAAGAAGTGGGGCGGTGACGTAGGAAAGTGAAAGTTAAATACATGAGTCATTCAATATCAGTCTTTAGTCAAATGAGAGATTAATATTTGCACATTAATTTAAATAATATCAACAATAACAGTATAACATTCAACATCAATGCATTGAAATTTTTAACAAACTGTAACTAATGTTATTAATTTTGTTCTCAAATTTTATAGTGAAATTTTAAAAGTGAAGTATTGTATAATTGCATAAGTATTTGTTGATTCTTGCATATTTTTATTGTATCCCACTAATATCATGTTAAAATAATTTAATCGTACAAATTTGTATAAATTTAGATATTTAGATTTTTGTATGTTTGCTATATTTGATTGGTGTACTTGATTGGTATACTTGATTAACGCAGAGAATTCCTAAATTATGCGAACACATCTAGCTACAGGTAATTTATTGAGTTACTCAAGTTTTTACTTTTTCTGCATCTTAATAAAATTACTCATAGTAAAAGTTAAGCGTGAATCTTTAAAACTTCACTTGATTTGCAATGTCTTATTTGTCGCTTCTCTAGTATTATTTTTCGCTACCACAAAATTATTTTGGATACACGTCACATTAATTTTTTACCACTTCTACTTTTTCTTCTTGATTAAATTTCTTGTAAATTTCATAAAACAACCTTAGATTTCCCCGAGGACTCGCAAGAGTCTCATCGTTCGCTGTGTCATTGCGTTTGTATTGTAAGTTCTTAACGTCTAACATCATAATAACTCTTCCACGTCCTACTATTGGTACTCTTATATTATAATTAATCCTTTATAGAGGAGACTATGTTCAGCAGTGGAGTCAACGGCTGATACAACATTATAATTAAAAGTTGTTTTGATTAAAAAACTAAACTACTATACTGATTTTAATAAAATTTGTCTGGAACCAATACGTAAATACTTTCAAGTTATTAAACAACAAATTGTTACTTCAAAAACAAAATCTTATTAAAAAATACCTATACATTTACTTTATGCTCTTCCACTTATAACATCATAACATATTATATTCTTACTTTGTCTGCAGACAAGATGACTTCAATTGCCAGTATTAACTTACAAGAGTCGAGCATTATTCTAATTCATTATTCGATACCATTTACTTCATATTGCATTGATCAAAATGCGTGCATTACCCTCCATCCCTCGGATATTTCAGTTGATTCACCATGATAATGATGATTGATCATCACTTTCCCCCAGTAATTATCACTTTATTGACTATTAAAGACCCCTCTCTTGTATTTAAAATAGCTATTAAAATAGTTGTTTAGTTTTAAAAGTACGTGACATGGGAATGATTAATGGGATAACTAACATCAGAGTTAATTTTGGATTAACTTAGGAATTGACATATTGTATTTTTTTTTTCGCTTATAAGATAAGCTACTCCATTTGTGAAAAAAATTATATAGGCACTATAATCACATTCGATAATATTTTACGGAACTAGATATTATTTTGCGGATATCAGTATTATTGGTTAGTTGGTTAGAATTATTTTGTTTAATTCTGCTACCATTAGTATGCGACTGCTGACATTCGAAGATTGACTCCTATTTTTATTACTAGAAATTCTACAATCTTTCATATTAGTCATCAATTTCCAACCGCTATTTAGTCCAGGCACGTTTTGTGACACATATTTTACAATATTGTCAGATGCAAAAATATAGCTAATTTCCTATTTTAATAATTTAGAACTGGAAATCAGATTTATGTTTGTATATATATTAATCAAATTCCCTTTGAATTCTTTTGCTCCAAAAACCTAACCTAAAATAGTGTTGTTCTTTTTTCACACAAACATTCATACAAATTTTTTTTTACCTATAATCCTTATTTCAAAGACACAACAATCATTTTCGCTTGCAAGTATCTCAAATTTAAGTTGGTTTCCTGTAATTTTAGCTCGGTATGCGTGGTCATGGGCACCTCCATCACTCGTTATCTGAGAACCCGGGCACTGGTCTATCGTCAAAAGGCAGGCTGAAATGTTGATAAGATCACGACCTAACAAGAATCTAAGAAAAGTCATAAAATATTGTTAACGCATAAAAAAGTCAATAGGATTGTGTATAACTGCATTGAATCCTTTGTCATTAAATTTAATGGTACTTTTTGCCTTTACATAGATTTAATCAACAGAAACAATTCAACAATCCACAATTTTCTTTTTTATTTTAAATTAAGATATCTTGTACTCGATAATTTTACTGGGGTATTTCGTATTTCAAACTGAATTGCCTTTGCTGCGATAATCGCTTGATGGCTGCATCATGAGTGGAATATACTCAAGCAGACGATTTTTGTACATAGTTTCACACGATAGAAATGTGTTATAATTTGAAATAACCTTGATTTTCGATATTTTAAAGATTTGAAATTCTTTCTTAGGAGTTCTTTGTGGGTTTTCAGTTGCAAAAGTATTAATCGCATTAAATGTTTTTGGTAGTACATTTAATTAATCTTATTAATATTATAAAACTGTAACTAGACAAAGTCTGTACATGGGAGATATTGAAGAAAAATTAAAAGTGATTTTAGTTCTTACTAATTGCTCTTGCAATAGAAGTCAAAACAATAATACTTTTTTTTATATTTATCTACTGGTTTGTTTATTCCTGGATCACGCAAAAACTACTGCGACAATTACTATGCGGTTTTTACAATGTATTCCTAAAAGTCTAACATAAAAACTGCTATATATTTTATCGTAATGTCCCAGTTAGAAGTAGTTTATTTCATTGTTTTCCATGTTTAAAATTCCCTTTTTCCAAATTCACGTGTACGAAGTAGCGATCAAAAAGCTAGTTATTCAGAAAATAAACCTTCTTGTTCTGTACTTGAATTTTTTGAACTAATTAATAAGATTAATAATTTACTACTTCGATACAGTAATATTTTACTATTTTATGAATTTACAGTATTATATGTTCTATATCTTAAAAAGATTGAATCGAAAATCAATAAATCTCTTCTCGATAAATGTTATTTTAGTTACAGTTCATCATACATTTACGCACTTTGTTATTTTGATTTTTGAATTTCAATCGATTGACGTCAATTTGAATATATTCGACGTAAATCTAGTTCTAGGAGTGGCAGTTTTATCTTTATCTACACTACTATTGGATACTATCTAGTTAGAAAATATATAATATGTCAATGTTTGTATGATCTTTGAAAGATTATCCAAAATGATAATATACTGATAAGAACCATATTTTATTTTGATTTTAAATTGTTCTTAGTACAGTGATTGCTCGAACAATGACAGTTTCACTAGAATATTCAAATTCTTCTATAAGCAGAAAAAAATTAAGAAATTATGCAAGAAAGGCATGCAGTACGAAAACATTGAAAAAACGTGTACCAATCACTGAATGGCTACCCAAATATAGTTGGTCTTTCCTCATTCAAGATATATTAGCAGGAACAACAGTTGGACTCACAGCCATATCTCAAGGCATAGCATACGCAGTCATCGCTGGTTTATCACCGGAATATGGGCTCTATGCATCATTAACAGCTGGCTTTGTTTACATCATATTTGGAAGTTGTAAATATGTTACAGTGGGACCGACAGCAATTGTTTCAGCCATGACGGGTAAATACGTGGCAGGTTACTCACCAGACTTTGCAATTTTAGCAGCGTTCTTGTCTGGTATATTAATATTATTGATGGGTATTTTCAATCTTGGCTTCTTAGTGGAATTTATATCAAAGCCAGTGATTAAAGGATTTACTACAGCTGCAGCTCTTCAAGTTATCTCATCACAACTCAAGTCTTTATTTGGACTCACTGGTGCATCTGGAAATTATTTTGCAGAATCTGTGTACAATTTTGTGGTCAACATCAGGACCGCTACTCTTTGGGATCCAGTGCTGGGTATTATTACTGTTATCATTCTCATAATATTGAAGAAAGTTGGTGCAGATTGTAAACGTACTGATGACTTATTGAAACAAATAAGATGGTTTGTTTCACTTGCTCGAAATGCAGTAGTTGTAATTGTTGGAATGGTTGTGGCCTACATTATAAAAAGGACAACAGACAATGAGCCTTTGGCTTTAGTTGGCGATATTGATGGTGGATTACCTACGATTGGATATCCACCATTCAACACAGTAGTTGGTAACGAAACATATTCATTTTTAGATATGCTACAAACTTTAGGTCCAAAATCGATTAGTCTGCCTTTGGTTATAGTTCTCGAATCAGTGGCTATAGCAAAAGCTTTTTCTGAAGATGGACGAGTAGATGCTACTCAAGAAATGATTTCTCTTGGACTTTGTAATATTATTGGATCATTTGCAAAAAGCATGCCAATAACAGGAGCGTTCTCTCGAGCGGCCTTAAATTATGCATCTGGAGTTCAAACACAAGCTGGAGGTGTCACTAATTGTATACTTATAATCGTAGCACTTACATTATTGACTTCTACATTTTATTATATACCAAAAGCAACTCTATCTGGTTTAATAATTGTAGCTTTGTGGACTATGGTCGATTATGAAATATTTATTAAACTCTGGAAAGCTAGCAAAAGAGAATTCATTCTTGCTTTAATAACTGTAATTGTATGCTTATGTGTAGGTTTAGAGTACGGAATCGTTACAGGTGTCACAGTTGAAGCATTGATGTTATTGTTTAGTCAATCAAGACCATCAATTGAAGTAAATACATTAAGGCATGCCACAGGAGAGATAATTGTTATACCTTTACCAGAAGTAGTATCATACTGTGCTGCTGAACATCTAAGAAGGTTACTCTTAAAAGTTCCTCTAAAATCAAACACCGATTGTACAACTGTCATTGATGGAGCTAATCTCAGAAGTATGGATTCTACTGTAGCTGCAAATATATTATCTGTAATTGAAGATTATGAGAAGAAAGGACGTCGTATTTGGCTTTTAAATTTTAATTGTAATGTAGAAAAATTGTGTCTTGTTCTTAATAGTAATATATCTGACAAATTTGTCAATGTGCCAAATGTACTAGACTTAGTTATACCATTTCATAAAGTGTAAAAATTGACGTTTAACACTTAAGATTAAGATTGTCATGAGATAAAACAGAAAATATAAATGTGTTCTTTACTTATTTGTTTTGTAGAAATTCCTACAAGAATAGGAGATAATACTTTTTGTATATATGAAAAACCAGTGATATGTAATTTTAATATTACAAATGTTTCCTATAATTTTGTAGTTACTATTTTAAAACAGTGATCTGATAACCAAATATAATAGTTTATAGTTCCACGTTAATTTTGTACAAACTTTATGAAACCAAACAAATGTGTTAAAATATTATAAATATAATACTTTTATTATTAATTTTCTTTTTTTTCATGTTTAGTACCTTATGTTAGTTCTCTATTAGTTAGTAAGATTTCCATTATAAATAATCATTGAAAACGAATTTGTTAATAAAGTTTTTGTAAATATGTTTATTTATTTCGCTAATTTGAGGGAATCTAAAAAATTTGAAAAAATACAAATAAAAAAAAATTAATATAGCATGGTATTCAATATAAAAATTAAATAAGTTTATGCAATCATTATATATATCAGTATACATTTAATAATATTTTATGTATAAATAAAATTAGACAATAAAAAGTCGACTACATAAATACATAACAAATTCATCCATAATTTTCTTTACTGTATTGATTTGTTAGACATACACACTGATACTATAATAAAAAATTCTGTCTGTCTATCCTATTTAAGAGCTGCACTCTTGTTGATAAAGCTCTTGCCACTCACTACGATTCTCAGCGAGTCTCTTCACCTCATGAATAAAATTTTATATAGAAAAAAATTAAATATTGAATAAATTCCTCTCTTTAATAAAAAAATATCATGAATTAATTATAACTATGGTATTTGCATATAGACGGAGTCTTTAACCGAAGTGTGTTACCAGTGATGACCTATGAAACCAAAACATGGTCCTGCACGGTTGAATGCAAAAGCTTTAAATTACTCGGTGAGCTGTAGGGAGAGCCATGCTAGAAATTTCTTTGCGTGATAGAATCTGAAATGAGGATATCCGCAAAAGAACCAAAGTGACCAATATAGTCGGAAGAATAAGCAAGTTGAAGAGACAATGGGCTAGTCACGTAGCTCGAAGAACCGACAACCGATAAAGAAGAAAGATTATCCCTTACGGACAAACGCGGTGGATGACCCCATTAGATGAAGTGATGACTTCAAATGCATTGCAGGAACTCAGTGAATGCAGGTGGCTCAGGATGTTTGCTTATGACAGCCTATGGAGGAAGTTTATATTCAGCAGTGGACACATAATGGCTGATAATGATGATGATGGTAATTGTAACTATAATTATATTGTAGACACTTAAAATTACGTTAGAAAGTTTTTTTTTTTATACAACTTAGAATGGCAAACAAGCTGACGGCCCACCTGATGGAAAGTGGTAACCGTCGCCTATAGACATGAACAGTACCATGGACATAACAGAGTATACTGTTTTGCCCATGATACCCCCCATGCGTTGCCATTCCTGAGGACTCAGGTGTTATTCCTCTGTACCCAGTAAATTCACGCCATATCCCACCCTTCAAACCGAAACACAGCCATGCAAACACAACTGCTTCACGGTTGAAACATGAATGGGACAGAGGTACCCAAGCAATCGACTTTTGTACAAAGTCTCCCTCTGGTAAAAGTAAAGGTAAAAGTTAAAAGTTGGTAAAGGTAAAAGTTAACAGATGTTACAGTGATAGTAAATATAATACTAATTATTATAAATAAAAAAATAAATAATGAAGCCCTCGCAATGACTCCTCTTCTTATGTGTCCAGTTTTATCTGTTTGTCTTCATGCCAATAGCATTGGTATAAAATAAGGATGTAAATAATTCTTCATAAATGTTGATATAATTGATATAATATTAACTGTTATCGGTCAAGTCAACAGATCTATTGATAATTTGAAAAGATAGAAAACAATTGAAGTACATGATTATAGACACTCAAAACTATGTACAATAAACAGATTGACTGTATGTCCATTCATTTTTAATTTAGAGCTAAGGCAAATTCTTAAATATTTTTCTGTTATAATAATAAATGTTGTCTACCTCAACAAGTCTGATAATTTTCATATACGAATTCTAAATAGTGCAACGTTTAATTTTTTTAAGTTACATTTTTTGTTCAGTAACTGATAACTTCAATTAAAACTTGACGAAACTCATTAGAAAAATACTTTATAAATGATAAAAATAATATTACAACAGAAACCTTAAGCATAACTTGTATTCGGTCTAGATTATCAAATATGATAAGAACTGATATTGTTGAGTAACTTACTAGTTAGTCTTATTCTTTGAGATGAATTGAGTGAGCGTGTGTTGGAATAATGACACTTTTAAACGAATATCAAAATAGTACGTCGTTGAGAAAAAGATTTAAAAACTATACCAAAAATACCTGTAGCACGAAATTATTAAAGAAACGACTGCCAATTATTAAATGGCTTCCGAAATACAGCATACCTTTTTTTATTCAAGATATAATAGCAGGAATAACAGTTGGACTCACAGCAATTCCTCAAGGTATAGCATATGCAGTTGTAGCTGGACTCTCACCAGAATATGGACTTTATGCATCACTAACATCTGGATTTGTTTACATAATTTTTGGTAGTTGCAAGGATGTGACAGTTGGACCTACAGCGATAGTTTCAGCTCTAGTTGCAAAGTATGTGGCAGGTTACTCATCAGATTTTGCGATTCTGGCGGCATTCTTATCTGGTGTGCTTATCTTATTGATGGGTATTTTCAATCTCGGTTTTTTAGTAGAATTTATATCAATGCCCGTGATAAAAGGATTTACTATTGCTGGTGCTCTTCAAATTGCCTCATCGCAACTGAAGTCATTCTTTGCTCTAGCTGGTTCATCAGGAAATTATTTTGCAGAATCTGTCTACAATTTTGCTATAAATATTAAGACTGCAAGACTTTGGGATCCCATACTTGCTACAGTTACAATCATCATGCTCATACTATTACAAAAACTTGGTGTAGGCTGCAAACGTACTGATGGCTTATTGAAACAAATAAGATGGTTTACATCGCTTGGTCGAAATGCTGTGGTTGTTATTATTGGGATGTGCGTGGCATATGTTATAAAGATAACGACAGACAGTGAGCCTTTAGCTTTAGTTGGTGAGATTGGTAATGGTTTGCCTAATATTGGACTTCCGCCATTTAATACAATAGTTGGCAATGAAACTTATTTATTTTCTGATATGCTGCAAGTACTAGGTCCGCAATCAATTGTTCTGCCTTTAGTTATAATTTTAGAATCTGTGGCTATATCAAAAGCCTTTGCTGAAGGGGGTAAAGTAGATGCCACTCAAGAAATGATTGCCCTTGGACTTTGTAATATTATTGGATCATTTGCTCGAAGTATGCCAATAACAGGATCATTTACTCGTACAGCTCTAAATTATGCATCTGGAGTTCAAACGCAGGCTGGTGGTGTCACAAAATGCCTGCTTATAATTGTGGCACTTACTTTTTTGACTTCCACATTTTACTATATACCTAAAGCATCACTAGCAGGTTTGATAATAGTGGCGATGTTTTCGATGATCGATTATGAGATATTTCCTAAACTTTGGAAAGCCAGCAAAAGAGAGTTTTTTCTTTTATTAATCACAATAATTGTGTGCTTATGTGCAGGTTTAGAATACGGAATTGTTACAGGTGTTGTAACTGAAGCATTAATGTTATTATTTAACCGATCTAGGCCAGTAATAGGAGTGCATACATTAAAACATGATACAGGAGATATAACTCTTATTTCTTTACCAGAAGTTATATCGTATTGTGCTGCTGAGCATCTAAGAAGATTACTCTTCAAGGTTTCTTTAAAATTTGATATTAATTGTGTAACAGTTATTGATGGAACTAATCTCAGAAGTATGGACTCTACTGTAGCCACAAATATATTATCCGTGATCGAGGATTATCAAAAAAGAGGACGATGTGTTTGGCTCTTGAATTTTAATTGCAATGTGCAGAAACTGTGTACTGTTATTAATGGAAATATAGCTGATAAATTTGTTAGTGCTCCAAATGCGCTAGATTTAGCTGTTGCATTTCATAAAAGAGTTTAAAGGTTAACATTTATTCCATAATAATTATATTTATACTGATTTATAAGTATGTTACAAGAATTTATAAATAATAATAAATTGCTCGAGTACAATTAGAAATCTCTAATAACAAATTGTTATTACATTATGTGATGCTGTATGTAAGAATTAAAAAGATTTCTAACATAATACACTTTTTCATTGAAATGGATCAGAAATCCTACTGATATTAAAATATGGAAAGGCTATATGTCTCATTTTACATGTACTCTGTCGTTTACACACATTCTTGCTTCCCAATTAATAAAGTTAAATCTAATATGTCTATGAAACACATGGTTTTTTATGCAACATAGAATGGCAAACAAGATGACGGCCCACCTGATGGAAAGTGGTAACCGTCGTCTATAGACATGAGCAGTACCATGGACATAACAGGGTATACTGTTTCGCCCATGATACCATGCGTTGCCATTTCTAAGGACTAAGGCGTTGCTCCTCTGTACCTCCTTCACTGCCATATCCCACCCTTCAAACCGAAACACAGCCATGCAAACACAACTGCTTCACGATAGAAACACGAATGGGACAGAGGTGCCCAAGCAAACAACTTTTGTACACAGTCTTCCTCTGGTTTATATTAGTTTTTAAAATAAGAATAGTAAATAGATAAATTAGGAATATTACTAGGCAATATTAGTATTTTTTTACAATTTAAGTAGTCGCTTTTCTAAACATTTACTTCTTATTTCATGTAATATTTCAATTTTGTATTCCATAATACGTTTTCGAATACGACAAATATGATATAAGCTGATGCAAGCATTCTATAATCGATCCAAGGGACAAAGGCGTCGCATAAAGCTAGTGGATTGGGAGCCCCTCAAATATTTCTATTCTATTGCTCAGTTGATCGCGTCAAAGAGGGGTGTCAAACAGATTCCTGAAATTTATTAACGTGAATCAGCACTTCTGAAACTGGCAGATTTATGATTTTATCCTAATAAGTGTTATGGGAGGAGAGGCGACGTTTAGGGTAAACATTGTGCGCGTAATGTGTACAGTTTTCAATCGACTTTAAAATGGAATGAAGTTCTCAATACGGTTGTATTTTTATGTTTGTTACTTCGTTGTCACCACATCGTCGTCATCAACATCGTCATTATTTTAATTGTAAGGATATACTTTCAGATTGATCCCATAGAAATTTAGCTAATTTCGGTTGAGAAGTTTAGTTTTTAAATAAAAATAACTTATTTTCTTAAATTATTTATTAATATTTATATTTTTAACTTGGTTTTTGCAATGTTACATTACAGAATACTCTGAGCTGTTGCTTATGCGTCATATTCATTTCATAAATATTGCAGTTACATGCTCTAAACTATCTCCTACACGTTCTTCATAGTAAATTTCCCCAAGCTGTACCTGATACGAGATTGCAAACAGGAAAATTGTTTCCGCATAATAAGACATGCTTCATGATAAAATGTCTGCATTAGTTCCGGTACTGTAACCGAGAAAGTACTCTCTACGTCTCCAGTCCAAAATTCATCTTCGCAAATATTACTACCTAACTGCTTTTAATATTTATGTCACATGAAATATATCCTTATGATATACTGCATTGAGTCTCTTTTATATATGATTTTATTGAAACGAATGTGTAATTTCTGTTTATAATTGTATTTGAAATTCATGGCATAATTTGTAATACGAGTATACATATACAAGAGTGAAACTAAAAATATGTTTATAAAATTTTATCTAAATCAATTCAGTGATTAAATGGGGTTCTTCAAATAGGGTATTTTAAAGTTTCTTCAGGGTTAGCAATACCTATGTGATACATGACCGTTTACCATTAGACAGGTTATATGCTTATTTGCCACCTTTCTGATATAAAAATGGGTGAAAAATTGTAAAACTATTTCAAATAGTTCTCTTTCTGGCTTCGATTATTTAATACTACTCGATGTCCAATCAAAGCAAATTTCGCCTCGCTTAGAAACTGAGTTCTTATTTCATTTTTGTTTTGTTTCTATACAAAAAATATAAAAAAAAAACTGCGCTGTATCATGATATTCATATCATTTAAGTACGCAGTTTGATGTTTTTACTCATATTAAAATCAGACACAATTAAATCAAAACAAAAAATAAAGCTGAAAACAATTGTGGGAAGTAAATAAATAACTACAAAAAAAGATACAAAATGACCAAGACAACTAAGAAAATTTTACATATAAAAACATTGTTATATATATGTTACATATAAAAAAATATCTAAGAAGACGAAGTTTGCAGGAATCATATTTTAACAATTCATAGTTTGCTCGGTAAAATGTGTGCGTGTATTTTGCCACAATCCCTACAGTCGACAAACCGTTTTACCTGATTTGGGTTTACAATTATGAACACAATGTTTTTTAATCGATGTAATTTTTATATAAATAATTAGTATACCACAAGGTATCTTTTGAAAGAAATATAAGATCTAATAATGCAACAAGATCGACCTTTTACAATTTTACTTTATGTAAATAATGTTCAAATAAGTCCTACTCATTTTAAGCGTTGAATTTAGAAGACTTACCGATAAACACTTTAATATTCGTAGAGTTACGATTACCCAAAAGTAAATAAGCCATTTTGTTTTATAGCGTCATGCAATTGGATTGGTCACGAAATATCGTTTTCAGATTTGCGTGTCGCAACAGCTTGATTTCTGCCTTAATCCATTTTTAACTTTATCTTGTACGAAGCTATGGCAATGACATATCAAATCACATGGAAATAATGGTTCAATGAACACAGTTGTTGTCCCTCCAATCCAACCAAACATGAACTCCCTCCTATGCACAAATTTCTAAAAATCTGCACATCAGAACCGGCTTTTCAGAGATCAAGTTACATCAGTCGCTCTAGTGGGAGCGAAGATACTACCCTGAACCTTTTTTGTGTGAAATTTCAAGCTTCTGAATAGAGAATAGTTTCCAGATGATCACCTCCAGCGCTACGTACTGATTTGTTGTGAGGAAATACGCCATTGTAATATATTGAAGCCTTTGTAATATTCGACTATTTTAGTGAATTTTATTTAGGCTCTTCATCATCATCATAATTTTTTAATAATCACTTATATTTTTTACCATATTAAATCATTTCACGTCTATCGATATTATTTTAATTTATTCCTAATTCAATTACATTAAAGGACAACGTGCTAACCTGAATCTTTATATAGTTATTGCACTAATAGACAAAAATAAATTTGAAAACATTTAGAACAGATACAGATAAAATTCTTTGGATAATAAAAAAGCCTTCTCATGTCTTTCTGTATTACAAAAAGAAAACTAGTCTGTTTCTAATAATAATAAGACAACTTATAATAGAAATATTTAGAAGATAAATAACCTATAGTCAACTGCAAATGTTATAAAAACATTATCTTAAAAAGAAGATGCACATGGCATGAAGCCAGAATTGCTTACTGTACTACAACGAACTGTATGCATCTCAATGAAGAATGGACCAGCCCTCGTGTCTCAGCAAATTATGATTAATATCTAAAGGAAATAGCTTTATCAAACTATAATTTTCACGAGTCATTAAAATTTCACATCTCAATAGGCACGTTTCTCTATCCATTAATCCAAGCTTCACGTTAAACGCCGCTTTAATTGGGGTCACATCTAAAACAAACCCAAGTAGGCATGTATTAATATTAACACTACCTCACGATATTTCAAACCAACCCAACGTGCCCTTATCTTGTATCCTTATCTTAACATCTTTAAGATTCAAATTTCCATGTGCAAAATTTACATACATTTGTAACTTTCAAACTCACACATCCAATTCACAGAGACATCTGTTTTCATTCTTATACCTTCAGTAATAGAGTTGGTGTTTGTATAATTTTGTTATGTGTAAGGTGGTCGTATTAAGGGTCTGTTGGCCCTTGTCAAGTGAACTCTGTTCCAGACAGAGGTAATGAAATACCTAGCAAATGAGCCGTAAGTTGCCAATAGCAACCTTTCACGTCACTCATTTCATACTGTTCCTGACTGGATGTGGGCCGGTTGAAATATGTACCTACCTATTAGTTTGCAAATAGTTTTCATTTTGACGCTATTTGTATTTTGAGTGGTTTAAAATTTGATGCATTGCAGTTATAATCTGATACTCGTGACTTCATCTCCCTGGAATGATGATTATTACTATGAGTGTTTTAATACCCACAAAAATGTAAATAATTCTACAGTCGCATAAAAAGTACGTAATTAAAATATAACCATAAACACTGGGTAAACGAGATAATATGTAAGCCAATATCCTCTTTTTGTCGTTTGCTTAGATACCTGTATCCCATTCGTGTTTCTACCGTGAAACAGTTGTGTTTGCATGGCTATGTTTCAGTTTAAAGTGTGGAATATGGCAGTGAATTTACAGGGTACAGAAGAATAACACCTGAGTCCTCAGGAATGGCAACACATAGCAACACATCATGGGCGATAGTATACTCTGTTATGTCCATGGTACTGCTAATGTCTATAGACGATGGGTACCACTTTCCATTAGATAGTACCGTCAGCTTGTTTGCCATTCTAAGTTGCATAAATAAATTGTATCGAAGCCAATCTCCAGTACCAGGACGTGAATGTATTGCTGTGACGAAGATAGTCATAATATTTTACATCAATACTGTAACGCTTCAGTAATTTGTTAACAAACTAATTAGTATTCGTAACGTCGTAAACTTTTTAGATGTATAAGTAAAACTAAATGCTTTTGGAACAGCGCAAGTTGATTCGCCGAGTGATAGACGAGCCAACTTTGATACGCTACGCTTTGTCTACAAAGTTGCCCCGGCCTTTGTGACCTCCATTACAAAGGGATAAAAGTTCGGCCCTGTTAATATTTCACACGAGAGTAAGATTAACAAGAAAAAAGTGGAACATGTTCTTTCATAATGACACGTAATTATTTCTTTCTTTTCTGTTGCACATGATCATATTTCTTTGAGAAATACTTATATTCTTTGTCATTAAAAATGACATATATTAAAGTCACAGACTACGTAATCTATCTTCTAGATATATAAAAATCAATTACTGTTCATTAATCTCGCTGAAACGCAAAATTTGTCCGATTAAAATTTTTTTTTGTCTTATTCGATGGTAATGCAGAGGTAGTATAAAAAAACAGTTTTGAAAAAGTGCTACGTTGCAATTGAAAAATTGTAAAATTAG